CACGTGGAAAGCCTTTAAGTTGTGTGGCATATGCTTGCTATATTCCAATTTCTCAGACCATCCTTAGTGATGACAATTGACTGCTTCACTGACATTCGCTTGCATCTAGGCGACGCTGAAGGACGTGGCAGTGGAGATATTTCCAAAGGGAAGCTGGAGCCTCTACTTACGAAAACTGATTTTGCTGTCTTGCTACAGATTATGAATGGAAAAAGAAATTATATGCCATATGCTCCAACATATTCTACCCTTCAGATGCTCCGAACACATGCTCTTGCAAACAACAGAGGGTGTTTTCCTTCCCTAAAGCCAAAGAATACATGTGGATGACAAAGCTGTGTCTGTTTAGTTCAGGGTGGTGTTCCAAAACCCTGGGAACCTGCTCATTGCTTCTGTTGCCACTGATGCCCTGTGGCTCTGGAACCACCAAAGACCTCATCTTACCACTTCAGCTAATAGCTAAATGCTGGGGAGGATGCACATGGAAAACTGGTGTTCTTCCAGTCCCCTTCTCACCCTTACCCTGTATCAGGCCACTGGCGCACAAGGACTCTGCAAAGCTCAGTCAGCCCATCAGGAGGGGCACATCCCAAGCAGTGGCAGTCCTAATTCTTCCATCTGTGTGAGAACACAAAGAACACATCTGAATGGAGTTACGGTTTACTCTTCTGCTACGTTTCAGACACCTCATGGCTCACAATGAAGCTCACGCACGACACGCCTGCCCACTGCCCAGCCTGGCTCTGCTGCGTGTCCCAGAGGTGCCTGTCATTGCCCTAATGCTCCTCCACCAGTGTGAGCACAACCTGACTGAGCACTCCTGCTGGTTCCTTAATCTGAACTGACTGAATCCTAAAGTGTGTACAAAGAGATTCACTTCTCATGATATACATTCCTGTTTAGATTTTTCTCCTACCCACTATTAGAAGAGGCTCATCTGCTCATCCAGGTGTGATACTGCCAGTCAGCCTTGGGCCCATCACCTTCTACAGGTGTGTGTGGATTTCTTTATCCATCCTCTTTGCTGTTTCTAGTTTTTGGGTATGGCAAACACGCTTGAGGTTCCCCACCTACGAGTTTTATATACATACTAACTGTAAAACAAGCTAGATCCACTAACGTACAGTATGCCTATCAAAGCTAACATGGGAGCTTTTTCTTTACCCACCTGCTCTGGCTTAGCTAGCTTACAGGGCACGTATGGTACAGCCTTTTAATTTTTTTTAAACACATGTAATTATTAGCAGTACTCTTCACTGGAAGTACTTGAATAGTATCAGGTTATTTAGTAAAACATTACTTCTCCCTACCTAATACCGATGATAGGAAAGTGATGATGTTCAACCAGGCTGAACAAATACTTTGAAGCAGCAGACCCATTTAGGTATGTGTACATTTCAGAGCATCTATATTTACCCTAGCAATTAATACTCAAAAACTGGTGGTGAAAGAAACAGTTCAAATGGTAAGCTGTAACCAACTAGCACAGAAGGCTTAGAACTCTGGGTTGATTTCTCCACCCCTAGTAAATAATGTTTAGGCTAAACAAGGTTCTAATGACTTAGAATAAACTCCCAAATGAAAGCTCAGAATTCTAACCTTGCGGAAATCCATTGCGAGCAGTTGGTGTTGCAGCTTTGTTGCTTGTAATACAAGTATAAATGTTTGCGGGACCAGAATCCGGTCACGTAACTTGGCAGCTTTTGAAATGCCTCTTACTGAGGTAGAAGTCTGATTGGCTTTATGAAGCTAGGTGTGTTAATACTTCTGTTCCACCAAATCAAGAAAAAAAAATGTTCTTGGGTTATTGAATACAGTTCAGAGAAGAACAGAACTGTCTCTCCAAGGTTGTAAAGCTCTAATTATGATATACTGAGCTTTTAACTACCTCCTTCTTGCCTTATGAAAAGAACATAGGACTAGTCAGATTAGATTAAGCTTCTTGTATATTCTATTTTAGCTTCAAGTGCCAGATGCTTTAAAAGAAGGCACAGGAAAACTTTGCAGGAGGCAGATGTTTTGATTATTGACCATCCCCAAGAGATATCTTCCTCATCCTAATAATTTGTCCGATGGTAGCACCAATAACCTCTAGCCAGATTCCGAATCTTGATGAGTGAGTTTTCGTTATTCAAAATGGTTCAAGTTCTTCCTTGAAGCCTGCAATTGGAGCTCCTGATAATACAACTTGCTTTAATTCTTAAACCACAAAACTCAACAGCGCTTTGAGAACTGGTTTGCACTAATTTATGTAACTGCAGATTGAAAACCGCCTGCATCAGCACCATATCCATGAGCAGCACAAAGTTAAACCCAGCCAAGGTTCTTTGTGCGTGCATGTTACATGACTGCACACTTTTAGCTGTCATGGGTGGTTCTGTGTATTGGGAAAATGGCCCAGTAAAGGAAAAATCACCTTGGAGATGATGCTGGACCCTTATTCTCTCTTGTGTACTGTGACTTTTTTGGTGGCTCAGCTTCCTGGTCATCAAATAGTGTTGCATGACTTAAGTAAGTTTGTCTCTGCAAGTATCTTGAAAGCTTTACAAGCATTGAAATTTAGATGTAAAACCATCTCAAAATAAAAGAAACAAACTCTATAATTGAGCTTAGCAGCATAATGTTGGTCTGATCCCAAACCTGTTAAGTCAAACCATTTTGACAATGTACTAGGCTTTCAACCAAACCCTGTAGCTTCCTCTATCTTTGTGTTGAAACCTGGGATTTATCCAAACGATGAAAGGTTATTGGCAAGTCTGAGGTGTCTGCTTATTGAAGTTATGCAAGGATGAAAGATCAGTATGCTTGTTTCCTAGAAAACATATACACATACCTGAGTCTTCCCTAAGAAATATATGCACATATTTGTGTGTATGTGCCTGGAAATCTCCAGATTTTGGAAGCAAAGCTTTTCTGGGTAGTTAGCCCTAGCTGGTGGAACTGAAGTACAGCTGTACTGTTAGAATGGCACAACCAGGGAGGCTCCAGATATGTTTCTAGATATGTATTATTCACAGGCAGAGTGGGCAAATGAGGAATTAAGTGCAAGTTGGGCACTCCTGATACAGTCCAGTTTGCATGAAAGTAGTTGTTTAGTACAGTAACTTGAAATCCCAAATGGAAATGTTAGGCTGTGCTCCACCAGAAGAGCTGCAAGTCCAGAGTGTTCCCAATTCTCTGTATTTTGAAACACTTTAAAAACCAAGTTTTTATCTATCAAGAGGCTTAAGCTGTGCTGACTCTTAAGTAGGCAAAGTGTCCCCGTGGCATCACTTCAGAGTGCCTATTGAAGTAATTAAAGTTAGACACCTGTTTAAGACAGAGCTGCATTGAGTTGAGGCGAGGAAAAAGAGGCCCTCGCTGTGCAGATGTTTAAGCATGAGGTTAAGCATGTGCATATTGTCAAGTAATTCTTGTAAGGCCACTCTGGTGACTAATATAGGTTACATATAAGAATGTTTGCAGTATTGGGGACTGCTTTTATTTGATTCATATGTTAATGAGTGAATGTAATTCTGCTCTTCAGTACATCTGCACTTACCCGGTTCTTGTGGGCGACGTTTGACAGCTGGAGTTGGGGCATGAGTGTGCATTGGCGGTGGAACTAAACAGGCGTGATAACCTCAACTCCTCTTCTTCCCGAGGAAGATTAATTTGGGTAGCTGACATGCAAAGACATAATAAAAGCTCCCCGTGATTGTTTTCTATAAACTGGAAAATGAGACTACGAGCACAAATATACACCCACTTAAAGCATTTTTCCTGACTATGCCTGGTGGTTCAAACCTCCATGTGGTTAGAAAAACAAACTTCAGCACTAAGACTTCTCAAATCTGCATTATAAAATAAAATGGAACATATACTCCCGATGGTAAAATATTATTTGCTAACGTGTTCCAAAAACCATGCTAGGCAAAAGGCAGTAAAAGTATCTTTAAAACAAAACAAAAAACCTGGATATAAAACCTAGCAGATGTGTTTTTCTGTTCTACTGCGAAAAGCACCTACTTATCGGAGTGAATGGGAAACTCGGAAGAGGATATGATGGATGCAATATTTTCTCTTTTGGGAAAGATAAGGTGGAGAAGAAGTTATTAAATGTTTACTTATGCATTTGTAAGTTTGAAAGCATTCCTTTGTTCAACGCTGCTAAATGTGATCAGTGGAATCTCTGAAACTTGCACACTATAAGTGCTGATCAGTCGGGAGAGTTGACTCCAGTAAATGGCACCTTTACGATGCAAGAGGGAAGGGGGAGAAAGAGGGAGAGCCCAGGTACAGCTCAGGATTTTATAGCTGTAAAATCACGTTTCTAGATATTTCCAAGTGCACTTGGGGGGGGGAGGGAGAGGGAAGCAATTTTATACTTGGGGATTAAACTTCTTCCAGCAATCAAATCGTGAGTTTGCTTCTGAGAGAACCTTTAGGTTTATTGTAAACCCAGTTTTATGCTCCCAATCCCACCAAAAGCACCTCGTTGTTTAAGTCCTTGTTTTGCATGCAGCGTTCAGCTCAGAGCTCGATTTGCTTTCATGGTTTGGTTGCATGCACCTGAACTGCTTTAAACTTCTTGTATTAAACGTTTTAAGAAGCATTGCATATTATCTTGTTCCAGTTAAATGGGGGTCTTGTAAATCAGGAGTACGTTCCTGAATCGGAGTGGACTTCTAAACCAGAGCTGTAAGTGCTCTGACCACGTACCAGGAGCTCAGATCACAACCTGCTCTCGTTTCTGGGAGCCACGTCTCTGGCACAGGGCATCCTCTGCAAGCGAATGGTTTGTTTGCTCTGCTCTTGGGCTCCTGAAAGTTCTTTTCGGGGAGCTCTTTGTTTGACAAATACCGTTGTATTTCCAAACATGTGGTGTGTGCTTGCATGCAAACAGCCTGCCTTGTGCAGGACTTAATTTTAAGCTGTTTGTAACAGGAACGTTTTATTTTCTGGTGCAGCTGTGGAGGGAAACTTTCAGTGAGATTATTGGATAAAGACGGAAAGAGTTATCAGTGGCAGAGGCAAAAGGATAACTTTCACCTGCAGTTCGTTCCCTTGAGACACCTGAAGGATGCAGGATTCTCCCGAGTGAGTAGGAACACGAACGAAACGCTGCCTTTCCAGGGTCTTCTCCAGGCGCAGGTTAGCCTTTTTCCTTCCCTTTTTCGCCTTAAACGCGAGAGGAAACCAGCGTGATTTTAGGGTAATGCTTTGAAAGTACCTGATAATCTCCCCAGCCTATGTTTCCTCCTGCTGCGGGGCCCAGGAGCCCGGGGCACGCTCCTGGCCATGCCGGGCGCTTCTCGGAGCTGCACGAGAAGAGGATCGGCTGCTCGGAGCTGCCTTCTCCTGCCCGAGCTGTCCTCGGCAGGGCTCGCAGGGTTTCGTGTGTGCGTGTTTGCTTTGGGTTTTGGTTTGGTTTTGCCAGGCTCGTCCCGCCGCCGGTCCCTGGCGGCATTCACCTGGCACCGCCCGCTGGAAGCGGCTCCGGTAACCCACAGCGCGGCCCCCAAGGCAGCGACACCGCTGCTCGGGGGATTGCCAGCAGGAGAGCCGGGCCGAGAGGGGCTTTTCGCAACTCTCCGTAACCCAAATGCTTGAAACGGGGGCTCTGGACGCGGTGCTTGGCGTTCCAGCAGTGTTTAAGAAGTGCTGCCTCTTGCAGATGCACCCCAAAGGGGAGCGACTTCCCGGCGGAGCGATGCCTCCCCCCGGCCCGGCGCTGCCCTCGGCTCGCTTCATTTGTCCCCGAAGTGCCAAATTCTGGTGGCAGCTGTTTGGGGTGAGGAGAGAGCAGCTCCTCTGACCTGCGCCGCTGCCCTCTGACCCGCCGTGAAGCCCTAAAAGCCCGGCTCCCCGCGGCACACGAGTCCCCATTGTTCCTAAAGCTGGCCCGGCCCCGGGGCTGGGGCTGGGGGGGCTCCTGGGCTGGGTCCGGCTCCGCAGCCGAGCGGCTGGAGGTCGGGGGGAGCACTTTCCCCATGGGAGCCCAGCAGCCCCGCTTGGGGAATTCCGCAGGGTGTCACTGCCCCAAATAATCCTAGTACACAGAGGGGCTCTTACCGGGGGAAAGGTACCCGTGCCTATTGCGAAAGTAAAACCAAATTCGCTGTAACGCGTCCGTTTACACTGCGCGTTCTTATTCTATTACTTTTTTTTTTTTTTTTTTTTGGGATGTGTCACCCTGTTTTCTGACCGGAGAAATAATCGCATCGCAGGGCTGTGAACATCCCGGCGTTGGCCTCGGCTCGGAGCAGCACTGAGCTCCCGGTGCTTTGCTTTACAACGCCCACCTTGCCCCTGGCTAACGCGACAAATTCACCGGGTGCGCCTTGGTGAATTTGGGGAGGGGGCTGCGGTGGGAAATGCCCTTGAGCAGGCATCGGGTGAGGTCTGGATCACCCAAAAGTCTGGCGCTTCTGTGGGCAGAGCGATCCGGAGTGCCGGCTTTGCCCTCGATCGCGCCTGAATTAAGGATACGTTTTATGAAAGTCTTCGGGGAAGGTTTGAATTCGTAATTTTTGTTTCAGGAGAACTGCATCAAACTTACTGGGAACCACCCGGCATTTAGCAGAACGGTGCCTTCTGAAATCTAAGCGTGCGCGGGTGCAAGGAGTTAGAAATACGAGATCGATTTCCGAATTAATCTCATCCCGTTAAAAAATAAAGCGGGTTAAAGAGGAGCTGCGGATAATGAGCGGAGGAAATCCTGGCGCTGTCCCTTTAACTACCGAACATCTGATTCCCTCATCTGGCAGATGGTCGCTGAGCACAGATTTGCATTCATTGTCTTGAAATCTGTTTTCGCGTTGCTGTTAGATGGATTTCAGAGGCAGATCTATACGCGGATCCCGCTACAAAAGGGCCGGGGGGGAAATAGCAGCGAGACAAAGTGGTTTTAGGAAAAAAACCCAACTCAAACCACAGGTAGCGTCCTGCCTCACCGCCGGCTGGGCTGGGGGAGCTCCGCTTTCCTTTCCCGGGCCCTCTTTCCCTCGGCAGGACCTTACGGGAAGTTTTAAGGCTGGAGGAACGGGGGCTGCCCTGCCCGTGTCGCGACATGTCGCCCAGGGTGGCACCCCGCGGGCAGAGCCTCCCCGGGCCGCCCCGTTGGTCGCTTCGATCCGTTTCAAAGCCGGCACCCGCGCGGCTGCTTTCTTAATTAATTTATTGGATGGATTTATTAAGGGCTTTGCGGAGAAGCCCGGTTACCGCGGCTGGACCGCGTGGGGCTGCGAGGCTGCAAGCCGGAGGCCGAGCTGAGGGGCCCGGGAGCCGCTCCCGGATTCGGTCCCGCTCCGGTTCTGCTCCGGTTCCGCTCCCGGTCCCGACCCCACTCCCGATCGCGCTCCGGGTCCCGCTCCCGGCCGGGCACCGGGGCCGGAGCAGAGCGGGGGAGCCGCGCCCTGAGCCCTCCAATCGGGGCGGGCCATGCAAATGAGATGCCCTTTTATGGGCACCAGGCCCCGCCCCCTGCCCGCCGTGCCCCATTGATGGTGTCGGGGCCGGGAGGCTGCGGCTCCTCCCCGGCGCGGGCTGCCCGCCGCGAGGCTCCGGCTCCCTCCCCGCTCCCCTGCCTTCCCCGAGTCATCCCCAGCCCTTCTGCCCCCCTCTTTTTTTTTTTTTTTGTGTATGTTCCCCCCCCCCGGATTGGGCAGCAATCAATCCTTCTCCCCCTGTCTTTCGAGAAACAGGTGATCCTCGTTACCCGCGAGCGGTTGCTGGCTGCAGTTTCCTCGCCCGCGTTTGAATGATGATGATCCCAGGCAAGAGTGAATCAGCGTAACTTTTGCTCGGCGAGAGGACAAACTTTTTTCCCCCCTCATTGAAGGCATTAAAACACACGTAGCACCAAAAAGCAGAAGAAGTTGGTTTTAACGCTGAAGTTCTCCACTTCCCTGGGATTTGTGTGTGTCACTTGCAGAGGCTGCGTGGTTTTCTTCTCCTCCCGCATCCCCCCCCCCAAGGAAACTGTTGCCAGTTGGAATAGACTTTTTAAATGTTTGGGATTCAAGATACTTTAGGAAGAGGACCAATTCTGAAAGATAAATCTCTAGGTTCTGAAATGGATTCCGTCAGGTCCTGGGTCAGAAACGTTGGGGTTGTGGATGCAAACGTAGCAGCACAAAGGTAACCGTCACCGCATTCCCCCTCTTCTTCCGTGCTTCTTTTTTATTTTTATTTTTAAGCAATCCTTTTCCTTACTCCCTCTTGTTATTTTCATTTGACATTAAATTTATTTTCTCCCTTTCTGACACCCCCCTTCCTCCTTCCCGGTCTTTTCTACTCACTGAAGGCTCAAGACAATACGGCTATAGCTGGGGACAGGCGCTCCAAACCCGGAGAGCATCAGGAGCCCTAAAATCCAGCGCGGGCTCGGATGGCAGAGCTCTGATCACTTTCCTTTTTTATATATATATTTTATTAATTTTTTTAGCGCAGAGGGCTCTTGGTGGAAACCGCTTGCACCCAGCGCTGTAGGAGACCTCTTCCCACTTTCGGGGGCAGACAGCCGGGCAGGAGGGAACCGAGTTAAAACCAACTTTGGGGCCGCTTTTCCCCCTCGCCCGCCCCCCCGGCGCATCTTGGGTTCCTCAATTCAGGCGGCTCCGGGGCTACCGGGGGCAGCGGCCAGATCCCACCCCGCGGCCCTACAGCTGCCGGGGCAGGAGCGGACCTGGCACCGCGGGGGGAGCCGCCGGGGTTTGGGGCTGGTCGCTGTAGGGTTTGGGGCCTTTTTTTTTTTTTTTCTTGTTTGGATAGGTTGGTGTTTTGGTGTCTTCCCCCCCCCCACACTTTTTTCCCTTCTCCTATCCTCAGCTAAATCTGCACAGGAGCGCTGTCCCAGTCTCTTCCCTTTTTGGCTGAGGTGATAAAAACTCCTTTAAGTACCATATATCTACTTGTCCCCTCGCTCTCTGGATACATTTTTTCTCCCAAAAAAACACCAGTGTAGCGCCGGGAAGGGGAAAGCTGAACGAGCCCGGGCAGCCAGATGCTTTTTAGTGAATATAGGGACAAGGTGAGGGCACCGGCGGGTGGGACGTTGGAGGAATGGTAGGTACCTCGGAGCCCCCACCCACGGCCTGATCCAAGGTTTCCCAAGCACCATGGGAGGAGTTATCAGAGATTTAGGAATGCCGATAGATGGTTTAATAAATCCGGGGGGGTGGGGGGGGACCGGGGACGTTTATTCCCGAAAACCGAAAGTAAAAGGAAAGGGCTGCGGGGGAACCGCGGAGGTGCAGCCGCTCTGGGCTGGCTGGGGCAGCGCCGCTTTTATTTCAGGGATCAGTAAGAAACCCCAAATCCGAGCTCTTCGCTGCAGGGCGAGAGGCAGCCCCCAGGTGCGGTTGTGGCAGATGCGGGGAGTTCCCCCCGTGCCTCTCTGGCGAGGGGAAAGCACAGGGAAAGCTCCGAAAGCCTTGAATACTTGTGCCCGTGCAGCAGAGCTGTCGTGGGGACACCAAAGCAGCTCAGCCTCCCAGCTTGTCCTGCAGGTAGACTCAATTTGTGTGCTCCGTGCTACGGAGGTGCCCTCGGGCACCTATTTTCTCTGCAGGAGATAAAAAAAAATCAGCGTTAGGAGAGGGAGGCTCGGCTCGTTTCCCTACCAAACAGGGCTGCGGGTCGGGACACGGCGGGCACACAAAAATCCCCCCCCCACAGCCGGGAGATGCTTGGGAACCGTGGCCGGGGCTGAGCGGAGCCGGGGGCTCCCGAGCTCAGCTTCTCGCCGGGTAAATCACAAAGCGCACGCCCAGGCGCCGGGGCAAATAGCCAGCCGCTAAAAGCCGCTAAAACCAACTTTGCTGCTGGGGGAAAGTGGGTGCCGTGCCCGAAAGCGGCTGCTTTGTACCGCAAACGGTGTCGGTGCCGCTGACAGCCCGTAGGAAAGGCGCTCAGGTCGGTTGCCTGCTCGGAGCAAAGCCTGGCAGGCACCGGGAGCGCTCCGTGCCCGCATTGGTGCCGGCCGAGGAGGAAGGGAAGCAGCTCCCCTCCTTCAGCACCAACTTTTGGGGCTTAACGCTCCGAGCCCAGTGTTTTGGCTTTTTTTTTTTTTTTTTTTTTTTTTTTTTTCCCCTCGGAGTGCAGCCACCCCGCCCGGGGCCGCGCAGGAACGAGCGGCTGCAAATTTGGGCACCGCCGGCGGTGGCAGGGGACGGGGGGGACCTGGAGCGGCACCTGCACCCTGCCGACATCCCCGGGCTTCTCCCCGAATCCCTTCTGCCGTGCCCGCTCGTCGTTTTGCTCGTAGTGCTGCTGCACGGGTTTGTAATGTCTTTGTCTCTCCCCCCACACCCTATCCCGTGTGTTTCCTCCACAGCGGAGTAGCTTTGTCCAGAGCTCACTTTGAAAAGCAGCCACCCTCCAACTTGAGGAAATCCAATTTCTTCCACTTTGTTCTGGCTCTCTACGACAGACAAGGGCAGCCTGTGGAAATAGAGAGGACAGCTTTTGTGGACTTTGTAGAAAACGACAAAGTAAGGCTTGTTGTCTTTCTTTTCCCTCTTTTCCCCTCCAGATTTCATCTCTTCTCCCTCACGGAGCTGCTCACCTTTAATACCTGTTGTACTGGTCCGTAGCAAAATAAAACCAGCTCTTGGTCCAGGGTTCAGGTGCTTGGGAAAAGCTGCTGCCCTCTGTGTGCTGCTCTAGCTGAAAAGACTTGTAAGGTTGTGTCAGGAATACAAAGGGAATTTCAGAAATCCACTAAAAATAGAATAAAAAAAATCACGGGGGACAAAGAATGATTGATTTTATTTTTTATTTTAAAAATCAATCAGATCTGCCAAGTTTTATTAGTTCCCTAAGAGGAGTGGAATCTGACCTGTAATGTGTCACAGTATCTGGCGGGCTGTGTATTTCTCTAGGCTCCAAAGTCAGTGGCAGGACCTGAAAACCATTTCTTTTTGTATTTTAAATCCATGTGTTAAGCACCTCGCGTTGTTTCATACTATTGTTTTTACAGTTATTTTCTTAGTCATAGAAAAAGACTTTTTAATAGTAAAAGATGCTCATAAATAACACTTTTAGAAAATTACATTTAAAAAAATCCTGCAAGAAAACACTCTGTAATGGATATAAATATCAATAGTGACTCCAGATAACACTGTTGCAAAGTAATGAACACATTAAAGACAAGAAGCACTAGGCATTTCTACTCTCAATCTGTTTTATATTAGCTGACTTGCAATGTGCACGTTCATCTTGTTGCCTTGAAAAACTTGAGAGCATAATAGCAAATAAGAGAGGAAAAGAAGTTCTTGAACTCCTACAGGAAAAGATGTCAGCAGTATTTTGTAGTTTGTCCTGGGTCATTCGGAAGGTTAATATATCCCAATCAGTGAATTCACCTCGCAGAATTTTAATGAACTTCATTGTCACTTCCATCATGATTATCAGTTTTTGCATTTTAAATGTGCCAAATAAGTTCTGGAATATTTTTTTTATTTTTATTTTTTTAAATTCTCTTTCCAGGAGCAAGGCAATGAAAAGACAAACAACGGCACACATTACAAACTCCAACTCCTTTATAGCAATGGTGAGTCCCCTTTCCAGTCATCTTCTGTGGGCACTGAACTGAGGCAAGGTTTGTAGGCGCTGTCACGATGATTTCTAAAATGCACTGCAGTTTAGGTGCCTCCTTATCACAGGGATGGGCTCTGAAGATTACTTCGTGGTGATGGGTTTGGGAAGCACACTAGAGGAAACAAAAGTAGCTGGTGTTGCTGAGGATTTTTAATAAGGCACTAGATGAAATTAAATGTGTATGTTCTGTAAGGAAAGGTGCATGTAACAGTATTAATGACTGCGTTTCTCTCTCGCTCTAGGTGTCAGGACTGAACAGGATCTGTATGTTAGACTCATTGATTCAGTCACTAAGCAGGTGAGCACAGCTAATGTATGCCGGGCTACCCTGCTCCACCTCATCCTCACTCTTTTCTTCTCTTTGCCCCTCACAATTTCTCATCTCTGGTTCATTTTTGTCTCTTTTCCACATGTATTACAGTCCTTATTTTTGCCTTATTTTTGAGAATAATTAAATTATTCTCTGAATTTGAGCCCCTTGGATTGTAGGGTTTTGTCCACATTTTATCAACACTACTGTATAAGCTGCTTTCCTGTTCCAAAAGGCTTTGAGGAAGGCTTTTATTTGCAGATTATGACAAAGGTAAAAAGTCTTCACCTGAAATTTGGATATTATCACCAGCAAGTAAAACCCTGATGCTATTGATGTACCCCTTTTCTTCATTTTTAGCCCATAACTTATGAAGGACAGAACAAGAATCCTGAAATGTGCAGAGTTTTGCTCACTCATGAAGTCATGTGCAGGTAAGGTGACTTTATTAATGACATACGATTTGTTAGGCTTGCTTGCGTGGATGTTGGAAGGGCTTTTCTGATGAAGTTGTAGGCAGGACGAGTTTGATTTTTGAGTCAGAGACACTGCGTGACAACAGACTTTTTTTTTCTATATGCGGATAAGATTTGATTTGGATTCGATACAGATTCCTTTTTTTGTTTGTTTGTTTTTTTGTGCAACAGATTTAGCAGGCTCAGGCCCACAGCCTAAGCTGCATTCTTTTTCTTCTGTAAGCTAGGCCTTTGGATGTGCCGTCTAAATTGATAGTTTGCATGCACTTATTTCTTACAAGATTCCTGTGCACCTTTCATGAACAGTTTGATTTAGACATTTTACCTGAAAACTAGAAGGTATTCTCCTTAAAATCTTCTCCGGTGAAATATTCTACTTTTCTTAATTAAATTAACATAATTAATTTTGCTTAGTTCCTCCCCTTCCAAAAAACACAAGTAAGGAAGAAAACTCTCAAACCAAAGCCCAAATCCTTCCTTTCTATACTTTGTAAGCAATATTTATAGGACTTCATTCTTTTAATTAAAAAAGACACTATTTTTAATATGTAAAGTTATAAATTAGAGGGTAAAATGAGTTGAGGATGTTTTTAATAACATTTGTATAAATCTGAAGTTACATGTACCTTATGTATGTACATCGTGCTTCCATGGTAACTTATTACTTTTCCTGTTCTCGTGTAATTAAATTTTTTTTCAATACATATAACAATGCAAACAGTCAATGTTCTTATATTAAAATGTGCTAAATTGTGCGTAGAATGTTCTTTCATAAGATGAAAGGCAAAACCAATCTTGACCTTTATTAAACACATTTTGTGATTTATTGTATTAGTGGGGGGGGTGGTTAAGTAGTTGGACTGAATGTTGCTTCTTTTAATGCTGCTATTTGCTACTATTTTTTTTTTTTTCCTTCTAAGTCATCTTCCAAGTTACTATAGTAGTTAGAGCAGCTTATTTGGGCAGGCTTGTCAAGGGGAAGTCTCAGTTTCAGCACTTAAAAGGAACAGAGTAATTGATGTAATTGTTAAATGTACTAAGAATCAAGTAAACGCATAGTGTTTATCTGTTGTGCTTTGCTCTCCTTAATTAAGACGCGGAGCATTGTTACTTCTGAGCAATTATCACATATGTATGCGCAAACACAGCTCGTGTTGTGGATGGGCTGCACGCGACGCGCGCTTTACGAGGACCTATAGATGCAGTAGCAAAGATCAAAGGGTTGCGTGTCACTTTTTGGCACACCTGGAAGTTACGTACAGATTTAAATATATGTGCTTTTCCTGGTAGTGAAAGCCTCTTCTATAATTAGCTTAACGTGAAGTAGAAAAATCTTTGAATTGCTACGCGATTGGGTTCTTGTTTGTGAGAATAAAATAAGTCAGGGGACTTTGTCTCCGCTTTTCTATAGAGAGGTTCTATTCTAGAAGTTAAAATAGCGCAGCAAACGTAGCGCTTTAAAATAAAATTGGCTTGTTTTTCTTCCCTGCTTCTTGCCTCTGCCTTCAAAGTATCAAACACGCTGTTCATCTCTTACATACCTGGCCTCCACTGGTGCCTATAAGCATATTCCGTGCTTGATTTAAGGCGGCGTTCTACAAATGTAAACCATTATTCAGATTGTGCTGAACTTTCCTGCTTGATAGATTAGCCAAGGAAGAATTACAGCTCAGGGGTGTCCTTTCCATGTAAAACACAGATTAGTGAACCAAATCAAAAGCGCTCTGCAGCCTAATCAAGACATTTGATTTTAAATGTCTTGTTTTCCTAAAGTACCTCTGAACAGGATGCTGTGTATCCTGAAGAGGCATTATACCTATCACTTTGAATAATGCCCAGGGAACGGATCCAATTCTAGTTAAACCTGACATTTTATTTTATTTCTTTTAAGTACAATAATCAAATGTTCCTCATTGTGTGCTGCTTAAGTGGCAGCATCAATTTTTAAAGCCCCTAGTTTAGTTTGCATTAGTAACAGTATATAAAAATTTAATGCACTGTACCCACTCTGCTGTCCAAATTGATGCCTCCTGTTTTTAAAAAGCAGGGTCTGGCTGTCTTTCTGCTCCCCTTCTTCCAATCTTTGCTAGTTGAAGGTAGGCTCTTCTTTTTTTTTTCTTTTTTTGTATTTTTTTTCTGTATATAGTCACACGCAGATATCCTTGCTGTATAGAGAGACAAGCGCATCCAAAACTCCGCATCTTCCACTCAGACAGTGACAGATGCATGCTTAGCAGGAAAGTTGTCTAAATATTGATACGGCTACAACAATCTGTCATACCAATTGAAAGTTAAACTCTCGGCTCTCCGTAATTAGTGCTTTCCATGAGAGGTTTTATTTATTTATTTGCAGATCTGAAATTTTTCATTTGGGTTATTACAGCCTAATGGGAACAGTTCCTATTAGGTGGATCTCTCTCAAACACGCAGCCTTCCCTGCAGTGGTTGGAAATCAAGGTAAACAGTCTCCTCTCCTGGAATAACTTTTTTTTTTTCTCCCCTTCTTCTTTTTCTTCCAATTATCAACTAAGAGGAAACTAGTTGTTATGCTGCTGCCAGCAACCCTCCATGCCCTCAATGCTCAGAGGGTTAAAAGGTATTATAATTTGAACAGAAGTAGTCTCAGGGCCTACAGCTGGCTAATAACAGAGTTGTATTGAGTGCAAGCAAGCCCCACAGCTGTGACTTTCGCCACAAGGCTCAGACTAGACAGGAGCTCTAATCAGCTGGGCCAGGCGGCCACTGGGGCCTGTGTCTTTATCGGCCAGATGGTGTGAATTTAGACACTTTTGTTATGCAATTGCAGGGAGGAGTTGGGGAGAAGAAAACAAAACAAAGGCCACCATGCTGTGAGCTTATTTGAGTTTGAAATTAGAGACAGATTTTTTTTTTTTTTTTTTGGGGGGGGGGGTGAAGGGAGGGAAGTTGAGGGCTGAATTTTAAAACCATTTTAGGCAAGTGTGAGGGGGGAAAGGGGGCAAGTTCGCTTTGCCACGAGCCTTCTGGGGTGTTCGGTTTGTAGGTCTGGTGCCTGTGGTAGCTTTTGGGTTTGGTGCTTGGTTTTAGTTTTGCTTTCAAGACTGTTCATAATCTAAACCATCATTTTTCCCATATAGATCTAGTTAGAGAGGAAAGTGGTCCAAGTCAGTCTAGTAAGTGTATGTGTAGACAATAAGTCCTTGGCCTTGATATTCCTGTTTTAAGCAAAGGAGCACCTCTGAAGGTGTGCTCCTAATACAGCATAGAAACAGAAGCTTAAGCATGAGTGAAGTTGTGCCAGTAATTTGCTCTAAGATAATGTTGTAGGCTTGGTCCTGGACCCCATCAGGGTTTGGGATTTTTGCCTTTGATTTATATTGGAACAAGTCAGTTCTGTTAGACAGCACTTGTAAAGCAAACCCAGCCGAAATGTGGACTTGGATACTGGGATGAAACACTTGGAAATAGGGATTTAAAGATTTGAGAGGTACTTTTGCTAAAACTCTGGGCTGAAACTGCCTCAGTCTTTAGAAAGCGCTGATTTTCCTGTGAACTTGTAATTTACTGGAAACAAGTGACTGTTTTGCCTAATCAAGAGGTTTCATGTATTTTGGGGCTTGAAAAGGACGTACTGGCCAAGGGTAACAATCTAGGTCTCTAACAAAAGTCTGTTCCCCAAGTGTGCTGAGTGGTAAGAATGTAGGTGTTTGCAAAATGCTTGGAAAAATTAGATTTAGCAGCAAAGTTTACTAAACGTAAAGTTCTTAACTGTGCTAATTGTGCAAACTATAAAATAAAGTGGCACATTTATTTTCAGAGCCCAGCCTCATTGCACTCCCATTTCACATAACTCATTCTAAGCACTTACTGTGCCAAGACATGGCCACCTCGAGGAAGCCTGTATGAGCTGAGGAGATGTGCTGGAGGTGCTGCTACTTTATTCTGCTCGGACTTTGGTGTAGTGCTATCAGAAATATATTTTTTTTATGACCACATGCGTAAGTTACATGACTAAGGGATATCTCGTTTACTATTACCACAAAGAGAGGAAAGAAAAAGGCAAAAAAAAAAAAAAAAAAGAAACTTTAAAAAACGGAGTTGCTTTTGTTGTTTTATTACAGCGGCACCGAAACCACAAGGCATTTGTTCCCAGAGTTATTTCCAAGGCATTGTAATATTGGACATGTCAAAAGTATATGCCGAATTTATATTCTTCCTAGCAATGGCTTTCTGTTTTGTTTTCTGTTTTTCTTCCTTAGGATATATCTTGGCTTTTATTACAAAAAATATGCACTTCTGTATAAACAATCATTAGGCAGTGAAACGCATAAAAGGTGCACTTAAAACAAAGTTGGGAGTAGGAGGATTCGGGATATTCTTAGCTAGTGTGAATTACCATAGCTTCACTGAAGTCGATGGAGCTATGACAATTTACAGCAGCTAGAGGGTCTGCCCCAGGGATTTTTAAATATTTAGTGTATCCTTTTATTTTAAAAGGACTAGCATCGATGAATAAGTGCAGGTTTGAGGCAAAAGGAATGTAGAAATGTTGAAACAGTTAGAGCTGCTATTCAAATAGATCTGGTAGTTGTATCTCATCTCGCTGGGCAATTTCAGCTGTTAAATGGGAAGTTCCTGGCACACTGTAACTCATGGAGAAAATGCATGGATTTGAAATCTTTTCTTACCCAAAGAGGTTTTTTTTCTTTTTTTTTTTTTTTTCTCCTCTCTCTCTCTCTTTTTTTTTTTTTTTCCTAAATGCCTATTTTAAGTATTTATTGTTGAATGTTCAGGAGAAAAAAATAGCTGCTCTTTCATATTTTATACTGCTTTCAGTGAATTCAGGCATCTTTTCTTAACTCCTCTGCTTGAAATTGCTCTAAGGTGGCAAACAGCGGGATTCAGACTCGCCTGGGAATTTTGTAAAAGTATTCAGCATCTATTATGTCACTGGACAAAAAAATAAAATATTTTCTTGATTCCATAGGTGTAAATTCAAATAACCTCAGCAGAATATGAACAATGTAATTTGGAAAGGCATTTATGCAGCCTAGAATTTGGTCTGGTGCCTTTTGAGGCATATAGGAGTTCTGGTACAGTCTACATAAAGTTCCACAGCGATGCTCTTAACTTCTGGCTGCCTGCATCCTTCCCCTCCCTGTGTTAGTTTAGTCAGAACAAACTATTTGATCAGCAAGACAGCTGAAAACTTCTAACAGACTTCTGTGCTGCTCTCAGCCGAATTTTTAAAAGGAAGTAATTCAGAGCACGGACTATTTTTAATATCTATTGAACTTGTGATACTTGTAGTAAGTGCAGGGAGCACCACTCATGTCAATGAGTACATCAGTGGAAATCAAATAATGAGCTGGCTTTCATTTTATTTTTTAATTAATTAATATATTTTTTAAATAGGTAAGGTAAATGCAGTGATTCTGTTCTTTGCTTAAGTACAGTTGAATTCACTGTGAGTGAAGAAGCCCAAATAGTTTGTGCAGGTTATATTCTTCTCTCTGTGTGTATATACATATATATGTAAAAATATATATACATTGGATCTTTGCATATCAGCATATTTGTGCACACATGTCCATATGTACACACAGCTATCTTTGTATAAGCATGAAGACACAGACACGGCCACAATATGGATATCAACCTGCAGTTTGTACCTTACTGCAATCTCCAAAGGGCGGCGGCATTATCTTGCATTTTCTTGCCAAGCCAGATAAATGTATTTATTTTATGTTGAAAGCTTATCGGAGAGAGTTATAATTTTATGCAGTCATGCAGGTAGCCACACAGTATAAAATGTGCATAAATACAAGATTAATCTCAAGGGCTTATCGTCACTGAAACAATTGCAAAGGGATTTGCAGACAAAATGCCAACCTGAAAAATCTCTTCAGCTTCTTAATATGCTCTAACTTTATTTTTTTTTTATTTATTTATTTTTTTTTTCCACATTGGTGCCACTGTACTGCTGAAGTTTTTTATTTTTTATTTTTTTTTAGGGGGTAACTAAGAATTCAATAAATGACAAATCAGTTATTAAAGTATAATAAATCAGTAAGTTGCTTATAGTCAGTTTTAACACCTTTTGGTGGACTATAACCATACATAGCACATGATACTCATGTCTGTAATGTTGTTTTGACATCTGTTAATCATTTATAAGTCTTTTATATGTAGTGCCTTAGTCTAAGTGTGACTATACTGCTGTTCACTTTGGCTGTGAACTTCAAAACAGACTAAGGGGAGCCAACTGCCAAGCTCTGGCTGAAATCAACCAGGATTTGGGCACCCACTTCTCTTAGTCCTTCTCCTTTCCAGAAATCCTAGCCAGAATTCTCTCAGTCACTCTTCTGGGCATATATTGAGCCCTAAAGCTTCACAGAGAAGACTTTCAGCTGGTTGTTTTGCTATCAGCTGTCACAGTAATTCTTCCATCTTGCTTTTCTTCCTCTCTCTAGTCGGTGCTGTGAGAAGAAAAGTTGTGGCAACAGAAATGAGACTCCGTCTGACCCCGTGATCATTGACAGGTAGGAGATGAATCTTCCTTTTTTTTTCCACAAAGCAACCACCAAACTGTTGTGTGTCATGGGAGGCAGCTGAAGGTCTTGGTGGTTCTGTTGGCATCTGCTGTTCGGAGGTGTCTGTGCTTTCTTAGCAAAATGCCAGCCTAAAAGCCAGTTACCTTTACCCCATCTGGGCTTGCCTTGACAGAAGTGTTTGTTTTAGTTTTTTTTTCAATTATGTTCTGTGTGTGTTATTTTCATTGTGACCAAATGTATGTTTCTGGAATGTTTTCTGCTCACCAGGCATGTGGTCCAAACAGATCGTGGGGAGGATAAAGCTTTGAGCAACCTGGCAGCTTCAATAGCATTTTTTAACAAAATAGCAATATTCCCCAAGAAGTGCAGAGAGGAAGGAAGGGGTAAAGGCAGACGTGCAATGTATTAGCGAGGATTAAAGCTGATGGTCTGGGGATTGTGAGCAATTTTATGCAAGACAACAGTTTCATATACTACTTAGTTCCAGATCCAGCCCTAGGTTCTGCTTGCCAGTTTCTAGGTAAAAACCATAAAAGAAGGAGAACAGCATTTTGTTACATGAATTGGTTCGTTCAAAATTGTCAGTATTTGTGGAGGCTTAGGAAGCTACCCTGTGGAATTCACTGACTCCAATTGTTGTTTGAGATCTGGAACTTAGCAAGATTCAGAAAGGAAAAATAAGAATAGACAGAGCTCTTTCAAAAAGTCCATAACCAACATCTCCAGGAAGGGAATAGTAAACAAGGAAAAGTCAGGAAGAAGCCTTTTTTTCCCCAGACAAATTTTTCTATGTATTAATTGTTTTAAAGAGCAAATATATATTATTTTACCTGAAGCAGCTGGTATAAGGGGCCAGTGGAAAGCTGATGCTGAGGTGAATTGATTGCAGATTCGGTTTTATGTCTGTATGTGTTTGGCATCTTCTATCTACATTCTAATAAGTGTTATTTGTCATAATATTTCTTGTGAATTTGTCTTGGCATTCGGAATGGTCAAGCTGGTTTGAATAAAGAGCTACAATTATATCCTTCATTTTTTCATCAGGGAGTTAATCAAAATTGTTCGTGCTGTGATGAAGTTCTTCCTCCCACTCCCTTACCCCCCTGTTTTCCCTTTTATTTTTGTACTTACAGTTGCGGTTGGGGACAAAGTTGGCAATTCCAGCAAACTGGGCTGTTTGCATGACTGCGTGGTTGTGGGTGGTTTCCTGACTAGAAGCAGAGGTCCTAGATAATGCCATCTTGACCTTTTCTATGAAATTTCTAATTCAGTTTTGGCTGTGTTAACGTTTGGTATGAATCTGCATTTGGGAACCTTCCAATTTAAAGTCTGAATTCAATGAAGCTTGTCTTGCTGCTGGAGAAGCAGCATGGCATGAGGCAATGGGCTGGTCTGTGAGTTAAGACTGTTCCTCATGAAGGGGTCCTCTCACTACCTGAATTTGTCATCTCGAGCAAGCTGTCCATTCCCATGCAAAAAAATCTGATGCTTTCTGTGGGGATTTGAGATCTGTTGATGTAAGCACAACAGGAATGAAACAAGGAAAGAACGAGCAGGGTGGGTGGGTGGCTTTTTGTTGCAGTTGTTTTTTGTGCTTTGTTGTTGTTTTTTAAACAACTGACTGTACAATATGCATGACACATCACCTTGGTGCTCAGTGAGTCCTAAGCTTTCCGAATTTGCTCTAAGCCTAAAACTCAGATTTGTAAGTCCCCTGCTAACAGCTGTAGGCATCCTGCCACTCGCATGGAAGTGTCTTCTGGGGTCAGCTTGTTGGGTTTTTCTGCTGTCAGTTCTTTTGCCTCTCTTTGTTTGTGTCTTTTGAAATTGCAGGTGAACTCTAGACCCCGATAGGGGTAATAAGGTAGGTGAGAGAACTGAGGAGTGCTGCCTGATAAAGCTGTTTTAACTTGTTTAAGAGGCAGTGTCACCAAAGGGGATTTAGGCCACCAAGGACAGAAGTTACTGCAAATCTGCACTGCTGGCTGGTGGTGGCATGGTCTAGTGAAGAGAGAACTTGAAGCTAAATCTGCTTTGTTCTGCCTCTGGTCCGTAGTGATGCCTCAAGCAAATGACTTCCTTTTCTCTATTTCCTGCTATTCCAACATTTTACCTGGTTATGCATATTTTGGGGAGTTACAGTGTCTTGATCAACAATATGAACTGCAAACGTAATAAAGTCGTGCTGCACATGGCTGTGCAGAGGAATTTATTGTCTACTCTGTCATCCTCAGACATTTCCACAGCAGTAAGTACAACTGCTTGGGTGCTTGTCTAAACAGTCCCCTCTCCCGAGGTGTAGTCAACACAACTGACTTCTCTGTCTTTCACATGAGCAGAAAACTCTGTTGAGGTGTCATAAGAGCTCTGTACATGCTTGGGAATCCGGGTAGCAGTGTTCTTATTTGTTTAGGGGGACTATATATAGCTTCTTAGGAAGAAAACATTTATGCTTAAGAACTCAAAAGCAGGTGGAATGCCACTTCTAAAACGCAGCTTGCAACCCTCTGCTATTGTGCAGACCAACAAATATGGTAAGATTTATGCATGTTTTGCAACTTCTAAACCTAAATGCTTTGTTTTCAGTTCAGTGCTGGCTTCGTACTGGCATTTTTTCTTAGTTTAAAATGAACTACAAATTTTCTTTAAACTAGAGTAATTGGAACAAAGGTTTTTTATTTTTTAAAATAATTAAATATAAAATTTTCCATATAGCAATACAGCTGTTAGATTATCATGCTCTAGCAGGAGAGAGGGAAGTAAAACAAAAGGAAAAGGGATTGGGAAAATGCATTTGTGTTATGCAGAGCCATGGCTAAACAGCGTGTGCGAAGTGAAAAGGGACAAGAGTAGAAGGAAAATGGAGGCCAGATATGAACTTGGCTGTCTGCAGGTGCTAGGTTCTCCCTTTGAGCCTAGGTTAATTAATATGCATTGCTCCTGCTGCAAATGTGTGTGAGGAAATTGTGACTGGCATGCAGGAGGTGCCATCTGCATTGTAATTCTGGCGGTGCGAGGGACCTTCGTGGTTAAAACGTGGCTTGATTGTACAACACAGAAAAGACCCAAATCTTCAGAACTGCGTTAGGTGACTCCTAAGGTGTGGGAGCAGAGGTGGAGCCCAGTTTTAGGATGAGCTATGTACAGTTTAGGTAAGTTCTGAGTTTGATTTGCAGCTCCTGCGGAGGCAGTGGCCTACTCAAATACAACAAATTCAGGAGGACCCCGGATTATTGATCAGTGCCAACCTCTGAGCTGCTCGACTGTGAAAGTCATGTGGCAAGCAGGTTCCCTCAACAGCAAAGGAGCTACAAGGTGGAGAGGAGTTTTGAGTCCAAGGTAAAGCAAGTTCTGCGTGGTAATCCGAGGTGTGCCCCTACTGTGAGCAGGCACAAGTGAAATTACCTACCTGGCTACCTGTGAGGGTGGTGAAGGAACAAGCAGAGCTGCTGTTACCGGGTAGAGGTACTCACTGATGCCTGTTACTGCAACTTTGTGATTTCATTTTTTGCCTAAACTAGCTGCAATAAGTGCCTGCATCTGCTGTGCCTGTCTGTAGTGTGATTGTGGGGTCTGTAGCCCTCGCTAAGCTGGTAAGACGATTTCTGTTGTACTGCAGTAAATACCCATGAACTTTAGCAAAGTTCAGGGACTATACCATAACATAGCTCAATCAGCAGTACCTCATTTTCCCCTTTGTTTCTCTTCCCTTTTCCTCACTTTGTAGGCTGTCACAGACTAATGCTTAGACTGTTGTGCTGGCTTACCCGTTTATTCATTTTTGTTTGCCAAAGCACGGAAACTTGCGTCCCTCTTTAAAAAGGAAGAAATAGTTTGGTTGAAAAAAATGTCAGCCATGTTTTTTTTTTTTTCTCTACTCCTTGAATGAATTCCAAGAGTTTTTATACTGAATAAAACATTTCAGCTTTGACCTTTGCTCTGGGGACTAGATTTAGATACTAAGAAGCTCGTAGTTATTTTTTTCTTCACTCTTGGAAACTAGTGCTCCTCTGTATGAAATGCAGCTTCTTCACTAAAATTCACCATGCACCCTCTCCCCTCGGCAAGTATTTGTAGGGTACATAGAGTATTTGTGATCCTGCAGCCTTCTGATCCAGCATTACAGGGAAACTGGGATTGGAACCTGCCTTCAGGGCACTACCTCTGTGCTGGCAGAGCTCAAACCCTCCGGTGGTGCTGCCTGTTAACATCTGCAGCAGCAGCAGGTACGACCCCCGTGGAGTGTAGGACTGGAAGGACACCTGAAGGTACCCAGGAGATTCATGACCAATGTCTTGTCCAGAGCTGTTTGCAAAATCCAGGCTTCGAGTTTTTTTAGTCATCACAAACCATGGTAACTTCTCAAGATGTGAGGGCAAGCTTTGATTTACTTAGAAGATCAAAATTCACCAGATCTGAAGTGGTTCTAGTGTGTTCCCATGGGGGATCCTGACCCTGGTGGATTCCCAGGGATCTTAGCTTCTATTCCTACTGTCCTCCTGCTTAGTTTTTGAAATTAGTACCCGTGGTAGTCATAGTTTTGACAGTTTTGAGAAAATGTGTTAACAATTTTGAAAAATGTGTAAAAACTTTTTTTTTCTTGTGGCTGAAGTGATTCTTCTCAACATTCCTTGTTGCTCACGGAAATTGCTTTGGGATATAAATTGCCCACCCATCAAGTGTGAATGATTTTTTTTATGTGTTGTTTCTTTAAGATTTAAGTTCTATAGAGCATGCTCTTTTGTGCACTTTTAACTCGGTGCTTTTTCTAGTTTTCTGAAGCTGCAATTGAATTGAAGCCTCCAGGATACTGAAGAGAACTGGATGGCTTTTTTTGGTTGAACAGTTTATTTGCTTACTATTACTTTTTCTTATTCCTAATAAGAGATAAATTGTCAAGAGAACTTCCTACTTAATTAAAAAAAAAAATCTTAATTCACTTAAAACGATGGAATGTAACTGGGATGGGACGGCCTCTTCTGGGTCTA